TTGTCTCTTTCTTCTATAACCTCTTCCTTAAAGTGATTCTTACCAACTTCCATCCTGGTTAGTAAAGCTGGTTCTCTAGCTCTCCTCTTCAAGGTGTAATGGAGGCTAATAGGACCTGCAGGGGTCATATTTAAGGAGGATGTGTCTTGCTAATGTCTATTCCCACAACCTAGTTGGTTTTTGAGGAGGAGTTGTTGTTGCTGTTGTTGCTGTTGTTGCTGTTATTATTTGGTTGCCTGTATTTTAGGGATGACACATTCTCTTCACAGGTATAGCTGATGGTGTGCATAGTCTCCATGACCCAGGGAAGGATTTCTTTAGTGGCAGGTGGTACATGCTCTTGAACATGACCTGCCAAGTCATTCCACAAGCTGACACATTGTTAGCCTGTACCAGATAAGGACCATGAGTAATCATGCAATGATAATGTGGCAGGGTTTTAACAAATGGTAGGGAATGGGGCACATTGTAATGGTAATGATCTTGTGCATATAATCAAGGGTGGTTTCTACATGACTTATGGAAAGTGCCCAGTGACCATGACTTATAGGATGATTTCCAGGCTCCAAAAATCAATTGCCAGTCCATCATAGGGTTTCTTTGCCAAGATCTCTGGGGCCCAATAGAGCATGGAGTGTCAGCCCTCCTCCAACATCTGCCATTCTACAAGCTGACCTGCCATGCCAAAAAAATCACAAAGCTTGACCTTGCCAGCTCCATCAAGAAGGATCTTCTCTAATTTAAGATCATGATGTACAATTTGTCTTTGGTGGAGAAAGTGACTGCTGACATGACCTGTTAGAATATTAGTCTAGCCTCCTTCTCCTTTAGATAGCCTATCTCCCTGAGGAACATCTCCAGATCTTTTCCCTGCAGCATACTCCATGACCACGTAAGTCATTGTCAGTGTGTCAATGACATGAAGAAGGTGAACTATGTTTCTGTGATCCAAAGATTGAAGTATGTTTACCTCAGAGATGATATGAGCCAGAGCATTGTGGTGTTTCTTAAGGGTCTTGAAAGCCACCTGTGCATGTGTGGGAAGGTGGCAGGCAAGCATCACCTTCATAAATGCCTACCACAACCTAGAGATGTTATATCCTGAAATCCTTTTCAAGAATGTCTTCTTCCCAGAGGCTGGCCATAATGTTCAGCTCAATTTCAGTCACAATTTTGGTGGAAAGTTCAGGGACACACAATACTCTAGAAACTTATTATAGCTTTAGGATGGACATTAATAACTATGAATTTTCTGTCTTGAAATCTGAGATAACTCAAACAACCTAATGATGCTTTATAAGGACCTAGAAAAAAAAATAAATCTACAGGTTAATTTACATAAACAAACTGAACAATAGTGTAGCATATGCCCATATTCTGGGGAAGAGTCCATGCTCAGATACAATGACCACTGAACTTTCTGCTAAACAGAAGATCTAGTATTAGAGACAATATCATAAGAAACAAAACAATTCCAGAAACAGAAATATGATATTTTTTCTCCTGTAAAAGTGAACAAGAAGGGGGCTGAGCCCTTATAAAAAAAGAGTAGTACTCACAGAGATAAAGTGGAGGAAGTGAAATAGAGCAGCAGGGTATGACCAAAGTGCTGGATAGGCATGTATGGGAATGTTATAATGAAATTACTATGGGTGGGATACAGTAACACATGCTCTAACTGAAGAAAATTGAAACCAAATTAATAAAATAAAGACCAAATGAATTTTGAAATAGAAAATTGGGTAATAGTGAAGAAACACATAAGACATTCACAAATCAAACATAAGATGTAAACCAATAACATAAATGTAGACATGAAATAGCAAGCCTTAACCCCTGGGGCCAAAACCAACAAACTGGAAACAAACTCACTCTAGCAAAGTCCAGTAGATTGGAGATTCCTAGCCTGTCAGAGCCAATTTTAAGCCCTTCTGCTCTGTAGGCAACCAACACTTACTCCAACATACAAGGACAGGAACTCAAAGCAGGCAGTGCATAACATGGACTAGTTGCTAGCATTCATCATAATGTCTCCTTGTGATGTCACCACAAGCAACTGACCAATCACAGCTGGTCAGAACTGACAGTAGTTTAGATCATCTTCTGTACCACAACCAGTGCCCTGAGTATTTTTCTCATGGCTGGCACTAAATCCCAGACTAGAATCAACTCTAGGGAGGAAGGGTTTATTGGTGCACAGGCTTTCAAGATTCTGAAGCCATGATAGTGGGAGCATCTTTTTCTGTATAGAGCTGGTAGTTAGGTGGCTGGTGACACTGCATTAGAAGTTATCTATGCCCAAGTGGCACAGTTTCTGTAGCTAGCTCCACATCCATGTGTTCCACAAATTCCCAAACTAGAAACCAAGTACTCAACACATCTGACATTTAACAAACCCCCTGTGGTACTTTGGATTAGAGATGTCTCATACAAACTGGTCATTTGAGCACATGGACACACAAGGACAGTTGATGGTACAGTTTGGGGAACTTTTTATGGTAGACCCTTAGTGTCAGAAATTCACCATTGGGCCTGTCATTGAGATGAATCAGCATAATCTTCATTTGCTCACTCTTTCCTGTTTGAGTTTAAGGATATGATGCTCAGCCTCCTGCTTTTGCTTTCAAGAGTACAGCTAGTTGACATGCCTCTGTCCCACCAACATGGGCTTTTATCCATCCAAAAATAAACCGAATATGCTCTTTCTTTCTTAAAATCCCATGTTTATCAACTTCTATTACAACAGAATAGTAACCAATAAACATGGGCTTAGCAAAGAGGGTTCCTACCCATCCCCACGCCACCTGAGTGGTCCAGAAGTCAGGCAGATTGTTTGCTGTCACATGGTCACACAATGACTGTCTCTTTTCTACCCTCCCCAAACAGAGAAACAATGACCACTGCAAGTAGCCTCAATTCTACGTCCCTCCCTCTGTCATGTAGCACAGGCCTCATATTAAATAAACTTGCTTCCTGATTGAGCTGGACTTCCCCTTCCCAGAGAAATCTTGAAGTTCATGGAAACATACTTCAGCTGATGGAAATGCAACTACTTCAGACTCCCATTGAGTGGTCATCATTATTAGAGTCCTTTTGCCTGGAAGGAGGATCTATCCTAGCATCACAGTCCCTCTACAACCCCAATCTTTACCTCACTCCCCACTAAAGAAACAAACTTTTACAACAAAGAGATACACAAGAATCAGTGGTAGACTTGAAAGTCTAAATAATAAAACTAGGCAATACAATATAAAAGAACCAATTGGTTAACAATGTCTTACATTGTTACCATGAAAATTCACTGATGAATCCAGCAATTAAAAAAATAACTGTAATGATCCACCAAAATTCCAGTAGCCCATTTGTAAACAGAAAACAGTGAAATACAGAAGAACTATGTAGTCCTGATCAGATTCTCCATTGTATACATACATACCACCAAAGTATAAAATAAACTAGAACATAGCTAAAAATGACAACAAATGAAGGTGAAAAAAGTGGAAAATCTCAGTCATTGAAGGAACAGAAATACATCCAGATTTTAAAACAAAAATAAATACTGTCAAAAAAAATCAATCAATAAATGCCAAATACCAAAAACCAAACAAAAAAACAGAGAAATTCACATTTTCAAGATCCAACTGGCTGGGAAAATCCAAGTCTCTGAGAAATGACCAAGTCCAACTGCTCGTCTACCAACCACCTTCTTCTCTATAATACAGAGACAAAAACCCAGCTCCAGGTAGCCCCTTCTGTGGAGTGGTAACTAGGTATACTTCACAATGAGTCCTCATGATGTCACCTGCAATGGGCCAATCACGGCTCCACAAAAGCTGCAGGCACAGCCCCTTTCCATCCTGAACAACGTGATACTTATTCTTGTCATGGCTGTGATCAAATAGCTTTAAACAACTTACTTATGAGAGGAGAGCTGCTTTAACTTCAGATGTACAAGGGCCTAAGTCAACATGTGGAGAAGTTTGTGGAGTGGACATCAGGAGTGCGATGCAGTTGGTTACATGGCATTTTCATCTCCTGTTCTTCCAGTCACCTAAGATTTTTCTGGTGGGTCCCATCTGCCAAAATGCACAGTGTCCCCAACAGCACAGCCTGGTGATGACTGTGTCACTTATGTGACAGTGGTGGACATTCCATATCAAATCACTTTCATGGGCCCTTGCTACTTTAATATAATATTAATAAATGTAACAGAAAAACTTACTTACAATGATGGACTGGAGAAACTTTGAGCTTCCCAGGGTCATGGACACAGCTTTATTAACTGCTTCAAGCTGTTAATGTGCCTCTGACATGTTCTTGTCTTCTCTAAGTAGCATTCATGAAAACTTTAGAGTATTTCTGTTGGCAACCAGAGTCCTTACATCTTCTGAATGTCCTGTCCCTTACACAGTCTCATTCTATTTTTCTGTTTCATACTCACATCCTTTAATTCTGAAAGAATGGCCTGAATACAACTACACCTGATCATGTTCAGGGATGTCTATGTTAAGACTCATTTTCTTTGTCCTCATTGATTGTAATAATTTTCCAGTGCAGTACGGGGATTCATGAACTCAGCATGGGTCTCTTGTGGTAGAAAGTAGATAGAGAGCAGGCATGGTATGAATCAGGGCCTGGTTCATGCTAGGTAGCAAGGAGGATGTAATTCAGGCAAGAAGGAAGGCACAGTTTGGGAACATGGAGGCCTGATTCAAGGAAAGTTCAAGGACTGTCCCAGCAGATGGAAGGACTGTATATGGCAGGTCAGCCCAAATCAGGGTTACTTTGTTTTCAGACCTTGGCATGTGGGATGACTGCTGGGACAGTGAGGACATGAGACATTACACTCTTGCTTTGGTTGCCAGCATTGTAGATACTTAACCCCAAGGTCAGGATCCCCACGACCTAAAGTGTTCTGATCATTTTAGATCTGGGGAGGGTTGACACTGGGGCAACTAGGGCTGCAGAAGGTTTTCATGTCTGTATTGACTGAGCCCTGAGATTCTGCAGTTCGTTCACAATCTCACACTGAAACAAGTCGTTAAGTGAAAGATAGGGCCCCCACAGCCTCATTGAGAACTGGAAATGAGTAATGTTCTCCCTTTGTCTTCCCCACAGAACCATGTGATCACCAAAAAGTCATCAACTCAAGTTGAGTGAGAACCTTCAGTTGTGTCTAATGTGACTCAGCATAGTGGAGAGTTGTCCAGGGATGGCTGCAGGAAAAACAGTATGGCTAAGGATGAAGACAAAAGCCCCATTCCCTCCTTTGTGATTGGGAAACACTTGCCTGGTATAAGGCACAAACTCCTAAGGTCAGAGCTGGTGGATTCATAACTGGATGAATGGAAAAATCAGTATGTCTCCTCTGGTCATACTTCATGTCCTTTTAGAAATTGAGAGCCACATTCCACAGGTCACACATCATCATAGCATCCTTCAGGGATTCTCTCAGAAGCACTGGAGCAAGATAAAGGGAGCAAGTCCCTTAGATTCATGACCTTGGACAACTTACATAGGCATCCTTTGAGACTTCTAGGTCTTTCCTCTTTGTACTAAGTACAGAAGCATCTTAGTGCAGGAAATGAAGTCACAAGGCCTCTTACCTACTCAGTGTCCTTGACATGGGCTGCTGTGGAAACCTTTTACCTCCATCTAATCTCCCCACTCTGCTGAGCTTTCACTCCCATAGAGCTTTCATGCTATGGATTGCATCTGGTTCTTTCTGGTGGACAGTGAACCAGTGATTAGGAGATCCCATAGTCATTTGTACCAGGCCACTTGTCCTTTGGCCTTGGTCTTACCTTTAGCTTCATTCTTATAATCCATCGAGAATCAACATCATTTGGGTGTCATTTTCCCTATGAGGTCTTGGTCACTAACCTATGACATTGAATGTCCCTACACAGTATGCAGGAAAACCAAAGTGGGAAGGTAGGTATTCTGTGGCCAAGACACAGAGGATGGTCAATGGCGATGGCATTCCACATTGCTTTACTGGGGTTTGCATCTCTGTGGAGCTGTCCTCCTTAAGTCTCACCAGGTGGTTTCCAGAGCCCCCTGGTGTCAGAAGTGATTTACCTTCCCTGGGGCCCCAGCAATGGAAAAGCTGTGGAGTAAGCTGCTGGGTGAGAGCAGGGAAGGTGAACACAGTAACATACCTTTCCATCAGGGCTTTACTCATGGGCAGTCTGCTTCCACCAAAGGTGCATCAGTCCTTCCTTGACATAGTCCCTGAACCTGGGTTATCCTACTCACCACCCAGCACTGGCTCTGCCAGATCTTCAAAAGTGCTCAGACTCAGCTCCAGCAGCAGTAAACCCCCATGGCTCATGAATGTATCTGCCTAAGGACATCAATATATTCCCAGAGTAATAGCCATGTTTTCTTGTCCATCTACAGACCTCATCTTATCTCAGTGTTTCCTACACTTGGTGAGTCAGGATTGTCCAATTGAGATTATACTGAGCAGTATGTGTTGGGAAGCAGAGTGGTGTGCTGCAGGGACTTACAACTTAGTGTATGTGGTATTGTAGGTGCAGGTTGCATATTGCTGAGTCAAATCTAGCATTGTTGTGGGTATTTTCACGGGATTGGGCAGGACACATGAATTTCTATGTATCAGGACCCATTGATCCATATCCCCCACAAAAACCACTATATCCAGCCTTGCTGCACTTTATTTTCTGTTTCTCAAGCCCTAGGTGTACTGTTTGATACCAGGCTTCACTCACCCCACAGTCATCGAAATACACTTCAAAAATATACCAGATCAT